TCCCCCCAAAAAAACCTTTTTTTTTTCTGTCCCGAAATCCCCTGGGATACTACCCACCGGGGGAAATGGGTTTTTTTAAAGGGGACTAATCCCCCCCATAAACCCCACCACTCACCAAAAACGTCCCCCCCTACGTCCCAGCAGTGACCCACGAACACCGAGTTATGACACTCGGGAAGTCCCCGGAAGAAATTAAATTGTTTTGGGAAACCCCGCAAAAGAAATTAATGAAGAAAGGGGAGGAGTTGGAAATGGGGGGGTATGTCGGACTCGAACCGACCAAAAACGAACGCCGTCTAGGGGGCCGTTGCGCCCCAGGGACTTTTCTGGGGTATACCGGGTTTCCCCCCGGCTATTATACCCAACGGCGGCGGTTTTAGTCGGTTCGAGTCCGACATGCCCCGATAGGTGGTTCCGGGGGGTTTTTCCCCGCACGGAAAAAAAAAAGGTCCCAGTTGGGGGGAAACCCAAAGGTGTAAAAAGGAAAAACCCTGGTATCCCAACGTCCCTGGGGCCATCTACGGCGTGTAATAAAACCCCTCTAGTTGAAAACCCCTTTTTCCCCCTTTGGCCCCCCCCGAAAGAGTGCGCGCGCCCCCGAAAGGCGTCTCCCCCCCACCCCGGCCTGCTTCTGCTAGGTCTTCCGGCGCCGGCGACGAGGACCTTCGGCGCCTAAGTCGTCAGGGGTTTCCTGGCCCGTCCCCGGGCTAACGGCCGGATGGGTTCAAAACCTTTCCCCGGCCCCCGCCCCGCCATCTCCTACTCGTTACTCCTTGGACCCAAAACATACCTCCGAACCATTTCTAAAGTCGGATAATGCCCACGTTGTACTCTGCTGACTAATTAGGAAGCTTTAAGCCGAGTTTTATGCTCAAAGCGTAGAGCTTTGAGCATAAACTCGGTCATTCTGCTTCTTAAAATATTTCTTAATAGTACAACATTTCTCGTCAGTAAATAAAAAAAATATGCGACCTCCCTTTGCGTACTGCTTAAGAAGTTGTTTTGATTTTACTACCCTATTCATTTTAATAATAACCAGTAATTATCAGTTAAATAATAACCAGTACGGTTCCTATCGGCAAGTCCTAAGTCATGTTTTAAAATACGCGACATGATTCTATAAAATATTCATTTCCCGAGATAAAAAAATTTTGATTTCGGATAAGTTTTTTAAATTTTCCTCGTATTCAATTTTTTTGACAGAACCTTTTTTTTTTTTTATAAAAATTTATTATTTTTTCATAGAAAATTAAAGAGATTAAATATAACCTACTCGTTTTTTTTCGGATTTAACGATTGTATAAATAACTGAAAATATTAAATGCGATTTCAGATTACATTTTACACGTTGTTTACCCAAGAAAGGAGGTATTTAGGGCAGCTGCTTCAAAGTAAAATGTACGCGATGGAATTCCACTATGCCGGAAAAGCTATGACAGGCATTAAAGTGGGAATTAAAAACAGTCTACCTCTATCTATTTTTGTACGTATTCACTGACGCATCAGCAAAAGATTCTGAAATGTATGAAGAAGTTAAGAATATGGCCCAAAAAAAACAAATCCAGGTAATTTAAGCTATTTGCCCGATCGTCCATAGCAGTGATCAGCCAACAAACTTTACAGCTACAAAACACGTTTGGGGGCCTTAGGATAAATGCAACCCGCATTGCCTCTATTGTTTTCTTCAGTAAGTAAGCAATAAGGCGTAAGTATTCGAAGAATCATAAACATTTATTACATGGCAGAACATAGTTAATTGATATAAATTGAAGTTGATTTTTGCTACCTTTCAGTTTGAATGCTTATGTTGTCTGTCTCTCTTTCTTCTCTTTATCTCTCTCCTTCTCATCATTCGTTACTACAAGTACACCTTTGACTGGGGATGCGTTCGTGTTGACACTCTTTATTTTAATTAGATGATTGTAAGTTTTAAAAATTGTAACTATAAAAGGTTGATGAAGAAGAATTTGCAGCTAAAGTTTGGATTAAAAAAGATAATGAAGGAAAGGATGTACATAGTTATGTTATCTAATGCCAGTAAGAATAATATTGAAATGAGTAATTTCATCATTAACATATTTTTCCAGGTAACCTTTATGCTAACTGGTGATTGTGGCTCTAGGGAAAATAGAAGGTACAAAGTATACAATCAACTAGCCAGAGCTACGAATGGAGAAGTTTTTAACTTGATGAAGAGTGATATTTTAGACGTAAGATTTATTCTGTTAAATTTAAATCAATCATAAATCATTTAATTACAAAAATTAACCGTCGGGTTTCAGTTTTAAACTAATACAAGTTAGATTGATTTTTTATTTGGTTCCAACTCCAAATAAATCTGATTGTAACTTATACACATTTTAAATTCACAGATATTAGAATACGTGAAAGAAAACACCAAAAGTAGAAGTGATATTATTGCATCGAAAATATTTCCGCCCGGGTATGGTAATAAAATTGAAGTAAGTAAATACATTTATTCATTTTGTATAAATAGAAATACTTAATGTATAATTATCAACTCCCTACACAAGTAAATGAAATGGAAGTACTACTCGACCAAGCGTTTTAGACCAAGGCGTGGAATGCGGCCTCCCCGCCCGAACCTCGCCTCAGGTACCGCGATCGTCTTAGTACCGTCGGCAAGGTTGCTACCGCTCGCACGTGTTTCATTTTGTTTCTGTTAGTTTCCATTCGTTTGTTAAGTTAGTTAGTAAGTTATTAATCTGTTAGTATTTTAGAGACTATCAAAATCGTCTAATCCCTAGGTCATATACGTCGGCGCTAGAAAGGATAATTCTTAACGAATTTTAAGGTTTTGTTATAAGAAGACGTTATACTAATTAAATTTACCGTAACATAAACTACTAAGTAACATAAAAAGACGTGTGGCACTCGGGGACTGCCGCGGTAAAGCTATTGCATAGCATTTTTTATGAACTTAGTATTAAATAATTATCTTAGCAAAACCCTATAGAATTTCAAGAACAAAGTCGCGGGTACCAGCTAAAAAATCTGTAGGGGCGAAAATCAAAGGGGGGATAAATGAAATAAGTTGAAGGGTGAGGGGGAGGTATTTTGTGACGACCTCAATGCAATCATAAAATCCCTCGAAAACACCCCCACCTCCCCTCGTTAGAAAAAAAATATGTAGGGGCCAGATTGTTCGTCTCCTTTTCACGGTTCAGACAAACCCAAACATGGGAGTCCAAGTGCTTCAGGTACCGAGAAAATCAAAGGGGGGATAAATGAAAAAAGTGGAGGAGAGAGAAGGGGAGGTATTTTGTAGGGACCTCAATGCAAATATATTTTTTTTGGTGAGGGGTATTGTATGTGGATGTTATTACATTAATAAAAATAAACTGGTCTTCCCCCTTTGTCATGTCAAAGGAACACCCTACCTTAAAAAAAGATCTGCTATTCATCGATAGATGGCAAAACTAAAAATTATCACCGCTGTGCCGGTCGGAGTGGGAGGTGTTAGGTTATTTTCGTTACGGAATTTCTGGATTCGGTCTCCACGCTCAAGGCCCGCGATAGAAGCTATGCAATAGCTTAATAGTTATTAAATAATACTTTAAAATATTTTTAGTATGCCGTTGACAGTAAAATGAATGACTTAATCATCTCTGTTACTGGACTTACACCAAAAATCGAAGTCACTGACTCAGAAGGAAACAAGGTTGACATAAAACATATCGTAAACAAAGATGAAATAGCAGTAAGTATTTTTGTATATTATTCACATAATCGTATTGATATTATTAAACATAATTATTTAACACAAAATTATGTCAATTTTATGTTTCGTTTTCAATGTCCAGATAATGAAAGCAACTGACCTAAAGCCTGGTGTATATGTAGCTGACGTTGGAAGTACCTCAGAGACATATGTGAAAGTCATGGCGAAGACTTCTGTTAATTTCTATTATGGGTTTTCCCCGTTCGAGACAAGTTCGTTGAGCGACACTGCAACTAGGCCCGCCCCAGGTGTGTTCATTGTTGTTGGTTCTGGAATATAACACGTGTTTTAAATTTTAATATCTAAAGACATAGCTGATTTCATATTCCTAATTTATGTTTTGATCATGTATCTGTATATCAATCATCATGAATCATTCAAATCTTTGAGTTTCTTTTTGTTGTCTCTTCTCAAGATAAGTTAAGAAATGACATTACTTTAGATTTTAATAATAATTGAAAACAAGATGGTATCATGACAAACTATGTTAGTTAGTATGACTTTGTTTGGTTTTTCTAGATGGGGAATCGTACTTATCAATTAAATTACAAGGAGAAGGAGTGAAACTTGAATCAGTCAAAATATTCGATATGGACGGTAATATCTTGGAAGAATTACCGTTACGGTTAAACAACGAGAAAGAAAGATTATATGTGACAAAATCTTTTCATCCACCTAACATAGCATTTCAACTTTCGGTGAGCGCAAACTCAATGGTATATTATAACAACGTCAGGCCTTTTGATCTTGACCGTTAAGATGGAGGGAATAGGCTAGATTCCTATCTAAGACCAATTAAGACTACCTTTTTCGTAAGAAAGATATTTATGATTTTGTAATCACGTTCTTTTTAGTAATAATTAATATCAGCGTTTATTTGGATTGATTTTTTGGTCGTGAGTTTTGACAAATCGATTAAAACTCATTATCATTTCACCAAAATTACCTTTTTAGAGATAGGCTGTCCGGTGTTTAAGGGTTTTGTTTTGCCCCGGTTTAGAGTATAACATGAAAAGGAAACATGCAAACCTTGACAGGGAACAAAGATAACTTCTCTAAAAAAATTGTTTTAGCGATGTTTATGCATACAAATTGCATTTTCATTACAAAATGAAAAACTTCTGATTTTGTGACTTATAGGTGTTTGGCTATGTTGAAGAAAATAAAAGTAGTATTAAGAGAACTTCATTAACGCCGATTGAGCGACAAAGTGAAATCGTTGGTAAGATATTTTCTCTCTCTCACTCTATAATTCAATACAGTCTTGTTTTGAATTATCTATAATTCAATACAGTATTGGAACTGCCAATTTTTGACTCTTTAAATCCATTTTCCTCACTCCAATTTACTTTTTTTTTTGCCCGAACCAATTCATTTTTTTCACCCTTTCACTTTATGAAGATAATGTGTACTTTAAATTCGGGTTCTCGAGTTTAAAATTAAGCCCAAAAGCATTTTTGGCCATGTGTTGGACAGTAAGAAAATAACATTTAATACCGTTAATTACTCTGATATATTTTTACAGGATCTGCAGTAAATGTGGCCCCTTCAGTAACAATAATAGAGGGTGCAAAACTTTTTGTGGACTACAGAACGCCTTTACAGGTGAAATGTAAAGTACACGGATATCCAAAACCTGATATAACTTGGCAAGAAAAGGACTCTGGAGTTACTACTGGACCATCTAAAGTAAGATTTTAATTTCATCATCATAACAGTATGGCATTAAAATTAAAAACTTAAAAACAAAATAAGTATTAAAATCTAACGACATGCATAAGGAAGCCGTCTTCTCTTGAAATAGACAAATAATTTAAGTAATTTATCTGTAGACATGACAATAACATCTGTAATTTGACCAAACTTCAATCATACATCAGATCGATCAAACAATAATGAAATTTGGAGAAAAATTCTCAAAAATTTATAAAAATACTCAAAATTGACATATGTAGAACGATTTTGTTTTCCATCGATACCTATAGCCTTACCATTAAAGGATTGCGTCACAATAACAATGTACGTGGTAGGTTTGTGTTAATTCTGTTATAATAAATATCTCTGAATGTATTAGATTATAAGAAATTATATAAAAAACATCATTTACATTAATATATATAAAGAACGCAACTTCATTGCATGTATCGGTTTATTAATTTAAAAACTTTTTATTACTGTATTAAAAATATATTTATACATTTAAGGTACTTGTAATAGAAGCTCCATACGATTATATGAGTATTCTGCATATAGAGAAACCAAATAAAAATATCACTTATGAATGCAAAGCTCAGAACACTCTTGACACGATTAAAAGCAATATTCAAATTGAGACAAATGTATATTTTAACGTTCTTGAAACCCCACCAGGTAAGCATAAGAAAAATAATGTGAAAATTAAAATACAAGATTAATAACTTCAGTTTAATAACATAATAAATATTGATAAATTACGTAATATAATAAGGTATTACTTTATGATGATTTTCAGATACAGTCGAAATAGAATATGGCAAAGAGGGCAATATCCGATGTATTATAGATGCTTCCCCACCAGCAAGTATATCGTGGCAGTATAATGGCAGCCTATTGTCTAATGGCACTGATATTGTTATATCTCCTGACATGCAAACTGTGACAATAAAACATGCAACTCTTGAATCACAGGGAATATTTATATGTGAAGTTAAAAACGAGTACAATACGAAGTCATTTTCTTCAAAAGTTTCTGTCATTGGATTAGGTACCTATTCTGTTTGCTAATGTGAAAAAGTTTAATATAATTTTTAAATTAAAGTAGAATCAATTTCAAAAGAACTCTCTTTGACCTGCAAAATTAAAAAAATGCATGTATTTTTAAACTTTTGTGTCTATATGCGTACTTATTATACATTATTATAAATTCGTAAGTGAAGAAAATTCTTTCTACTTCTTTACAAGTAATTGAGCATGAAAAAATGATTGATTTTGGTTAAGTCTAAAAGTAAATAGTTGCTAGTTAGGTATTTTTTATCTATCAATAAACATTTTGGGTTTCTTTTCTACCCTACGACATTATTGTATCATTAATATATTTATAGGAAATGTTAAGTTAGTTTGTGTACGTTTCAAAAGCTCAAAAAGTTCTGCTTCTTGAGCTCACATTTTTACACGAAATACAAACCGCTTTAAAGATTCTTTTATATAATTTTCGCGTCAGTTTTGTTTCTTATTTACTATCAATGCACTCAAAATTTGCCACAGCAAAGCGTGGCAGGGTACAGCTAGGATACCGTAATTTGGATCGTGTATAATATAGCAGCGTCTTCAAGCTTCTGGACTGGAATGGACTTAACATCAACATCAATGGCGAGTATTTACCCACCTTCAATTTGCTGATGATAGTCATGACTGAAACCATAGAATACCTTAGCACAATGATTGATGGCCATAGTAGGGTCTCTAAACGAGTGGGTCTTAAAATGAATATGGAACATGGAAAAGATGAAAATTATGTCGATGCGTTCCTGGAGCTCCTCCCGATTGCCAAAGCAGGCGGCGGCGGTTTAATGGGTAGACCGGTTCTCCGAGAGTCCCACAATGCCTACCGTCTCCCCAACGAAGGGTATGGTACGAAAAGCATTCCTCACGTTAAAAAAATTAAAAGAAAGGTTTAACTTCAAAAAGCGGTCAATCATCAAATCTATCGTCGCAGGGCAGCATTCTGAAAGGTACATGACATTTTCTCGTCCCAAATACCATAGTGTATCAAGACATAAGTTTTTGACCAGTGTGCCATGGCACAGAGATGTGGTCGCTCACAATGAGCCTCATAAGATGGCTCAAAGTCACCCAAAGAGCAATGGAGAGGGCAATGCTGGGAGTTTCTCTATATGATCGAATCAGGGAAGAGGAGATACGCAGACCAACCATGGTCACCTACTTTGCTCGGAGAATTGTCAAACTTAAGTGGTAGTGGGCGGGGCACATTGCTCGTAGAAACGATGGCCGATGGGACCATAAAGTTCTCGAGTGGCAATAGCTTATCGGAAAACGCAGCGTGGTTAGGCTCTGGTGAAGGTCGCGGGAAGCCTTTGCAAACGGGCAGCACATGTGTGTTTTGGCGAAACTTGGTGGAGGCCTATGTCCAGCAGTGGTCATCTTTCGGCTGAGATGAGTGATGTGTGAATATAGAGCAGGTGCAAGAAACCTAGTTTTCGATTTAGGAATCCTTATGCCAAACTTTAGAGTGACAAATTTTGCCAGAGTTGAACTGTACCTGTCCCCACTCCTGTATGGTAAATGGCCAGGTTTCTGGTCTACTCCGAGGAATTGTTTAGAACTTACACTTACACCGGCCGCATGTTGTCGCCATCGTTCAACGTGATAGAACTTCCTTTCCCATCACTTAGATAATTGGCACTTTACTACGTTGCGTTTCTAAGAAACGTTTTGCCTCGTACAATTAATCTGTGGAACAAAGTGTGGGCTGCAATATTTCCGATATGTATTTCAAGATTTGAAGAAAAGAGCGTATTTCCATCTCAAAGGACGGCAACACACATGTGAATTTTGATTTGTAGTCCATGGTCGGTGATAGTTACTTCCTCTCAGGTGATTCGTCTGCTTGTCTGCCCCCTCCACATAAAAATAATTCACAGTTAGATCAGCTTAATAAATTAAAGGGTGATAAACCAATATAAACAAGCATCACATTTTAAATTTTAAACAGCATTCCATTGCAAATTATTTAAATTTAATGAATTTGTCGAGTACAAAAATAATAGTAAATAATTTCATTATGAAAATATAATTAATCATGTTATTTTTTCTAGAAAACCCGGTTATCGATAAACCCGATGAGAAAATACGCGTTGTTAAAGGGGCTGATGCTCAACTTACATGTCGGTAAGTTCGAAAATATTCCGCTATTTTTTGTCAGAAATCTTTGCTCCTATCAAAGCAGTTTTCACAATAAATTGTAGAACCTTTCTAGAACATTATTTCTTCATGAAATCTCTTGTCCAGTTACCGTACTGCTGACAATATTGAACAACTAGCTGATTCGCGCAGCTTTGTCTGCGTCTCTCAAAAGGAATAAAATTTCACCGTTTTTTAAACATTTTTCTGTTACAATTTTCTAACAAAGACAGATTCACGTTCTTGAGAGTATGTATCATGTCTACAATCTCCTGCAATATTAGATCTTCTCTTATTATTTTAATGTGTTTGTAATTCATTATTCCTTTTAAGAACGTTGCAATACTTTTGTAAATACAAGTACAATTTTCAATTAGATTGTATGTATAAAAGAAGAAGAAGAAGACGCTTAATTACTTATAATATAATTTAAATAGAAATTAATGATGAGCGATAACGGTGTGGCACGCAATTATAATTATGTAGTAAATTCTATTAAATAAGTCCTAATATCGCTTAAGGAAGTGCTCTCTAAATTTAAGAAAGGTCTTAATATATTGAAGAAGTTTATTTTAATGACATTGCAACACAATCACAATATTATTGTACAGATACAGAACATATATAGTATTGTAACACGTAGCGAATCAGAATATAATATAGTATTAAACACAGTAATAATTAACATATTTGTAAATAAAATTATAAGAATTTACATAAATTTCTATATATTCTTACACATAACACAAAAACATAGTACATAGGTACATAGGATTTTTGGTTTAGAATTGCGTCGCAGTGTTCATTAAAAGGAGACGTTGCTCAGCATAATGCTGCACCATTACGATACAGCGCTGATTATTAGCAACACCTCGATAGAGATATGTGCTTTACACGCACAGTCAAAATATTTAAATTTATTATGTTTCGAAATAATATTGGTCAACAGCACAGTTTTTTGAAAAAAATAATGTATTTACAGAGTAGCAGACAATTAATAACTGTTGCATACGAAAAATAAATGTACATGTCAATGAAGAGTTATTTATCTCGGCGATTTAAAATTAGGATTCTATTTGTTGGTTTAATAAACATAATTTATTCTCTTAATGATTTCGCAATTATATTACCTATATACATTCATTAATCTTAGCTAGGATTCACTGTTGAGACCCAGATAGAGTTCCTGGGAAAACCTGGGAGATCGAGATTGACATCTTCCACCTCTCAAAAAGTGCCTTTAAAAGACAAATAACTAAAAAGTTGCAATCATACTTGTGAATCCAAATTAAGATTGTTTTTGTAAGTTGCTTTCTTTTGGAGTACTTCTCACTCTGCACAATTTACCAAATATAAATTAAATTATAGATAGTATATAATACGTACAATTGCCTATGTTTAAGTGGTGCACGCAATTTTCTTTTATTTGTCGCGAAACTTTATTATTGGCTAAGAGTCTAAATAATGTTTAACTTCACCCATGATATATGTAACATAGCTGTTAAGTTTCCAAATAAATAAATAAACCTAAGTGCAAATTCAATTTCACAACTTATTTTCAAAATAAAATTATACATCATGTTTTTATCTGCAATCATAGAATATTACATGCTTGAACGTTTATTAATATCCTTTCATAATATCTTTCTTCAGTATTCTTCGTGGTACGCCGAAACCAACAATACAGTGGCGCTTCCAGCCACAGATAACAAAAAGCTTTAAAGAAATTGAGGAGATGAACGAAACTTTACTCTTGAAGAATATAAGCGTCGATAACGAGGGCACATACATGTGTAACGCCAGTAATATAATGGGATCACAAAGTTACACTATGGATTTGATGGTAGAATGTGAGTAGTTTTAAATTAAATTGATTTTTTTGGGGTTTCGCAACACCGGTTGAAGTGGTCAAATAAAAAAAAGTCAACACAAAATATAAAAATGCTTAATGGCAGAGTCAAGTGACAAGTTCCCTTTAATATTTCAATAATATCGTCGACCGCTTAGCAACTCTTCAGATAGTCCCTAAAAATTAATGACCTAAATTATTTTTAGTCCATAAATGGTCTGTTTTTCATTTCATAACGTTCAAAGTTGAGTGCTTTCTTATCCTTCCTAATTACCATAACAATTACATGTTATAGATCCAGCTATAATCAAAGACGACGGAATCAAAATGATCCAAGCTTTAGACGGGGATGAAATAACTCTACTTTGCGGTGTCGCTGGTGTACCTACTCCTACAGTGAAGTGGCTAAGAAATGGCACTACACTGCATAGCTCGAAGAAAATTTTAACAAATATCGACCACAGTCTCCAGTAAGTATGATTAAACGTTCATACTACTGGAGTGAATCGCTCTAAATGTGACTGTGCAACCCTATCTCGTGTAGCTTCCATTAAGTATCTAGGTATAACAGTAGACGTCCAACTTACCTGGGGCCCACACATAGCGGTTGTGACAACTAGAATAAGAAAAATTATACACATATTTAAAAATCTACGTAATATCGGGGATGTAGACCTCTTACTAGGGACGTACAGAGCACTATGTGAATGCATCATCAGATATTGCATCTGTGTATGGGGAGGCGCAGGTAAAACTTACCTTTTGACGGCAGAGAGGGCCCAGCGTGCGGTTCTAAAAGTGCTGATGTACTTACCGTACAGGCATCCCACTACAGCAGTATACGAAAAGGCTGGCGTCCTCTCTGTAAGGAAAATGTTTATTTATGAGATCCTAAGACGCTACCATAAAAAAATTATGTCAACCTTACTTGTGTCAAACAAACGTGTAGAACGTTGCCCGGTACCTAGAACAAAAAGTGCTTCTGGGCAAAGGCATTTTAATTTTCTTGGCCCTTACATATACAATAAATGTAACAAGATACAAAAAATAAAAAAGCTCAGTCATCTAAAGCTGAAAAGAGTTGTACATACCTGGCTGAGTACAATGGACTACGACACTGTTGAAAATCTATTAAGAGTCGATAAGTGATGAACTAACTTATTACCTTAGTCAACCAACTTATGCCCTAACACACATATATATATTCCAACACACACACACACACACACACACGCACGCACACGCACACACACAGCGCATGAATTGATTATTATTTTAAATTTTGATTTTGTTTTTCCTTTCTTTCTTTTTTTTTTAATTTATTATACCAAAATTTTGACTGTCTATGTAAATTGGGGAGGACACTGGCTCCTGCAACACAGTATCTACTAGTGTAGGAGCCAGAGAATTCTGAAATTAATGTATGCTTATTGTTATTGTCAATAAAAAAATATTATTATTATTATTATACTAAGTTTTAAACTTTCGTGTTCTATGATATATAATTATGTACGTAGACGTCAATTAATGCGATTTAGTAACAGGTAGCTCTATACATTTAGTACCTTTAAGGTTACAATGGTCGTAGTCACAGGCTGTTTATCTTAGTGGTGCACGTCCGCCGTAGTTGATGGAGTGGAGATAGAAAACTCTACACTTATACGCACGTTCTCCATATTAGGGTGTCCCTATTGTGTGTAAACCGAGGAGTTCTTATTTTAACCTACGCTTTGTTTAACCGATGCAGGAATCACCACAGCTGCAGTTTATTTAATATTCTCAATAACTTATTATTTTATATATTTAACTTTGGGTGAGCCAACCAGGCTTCGGTACAAATGGGCACCACTGCACCACTGCAAAGCAATTCTTTCCTTGTTTTTCACCAAGTAAGATAACTAGGCCTAAACGTCCTACCCTCTGAACCCGAGAGAGGGGAGGGGAGGGGCATGTCTATGGGTAGTAGTAACCACTTACAATGAGAAATTCAGTCTTCTCTCCTCTGCTTTCTAATTTATAAAAAAAAATAAAGAAATTTTAATTGTTATTTCAGAATTAGAACAATTGATATATCTGACACTGGACAGTATACTTGTGAAGCTACAAACCATCTTGGCTCTAGTAACAAATCTATTTATGTTTATGTAAATGGTAAGTTTACTTGGAGGTTTACCTATGAACTCATGGCTATCTGCCACTTTCAGTTCTACGCTTTGAAATTAATACACATAAAAAATTAATGTTTTGACACATCAATATTTGAAACTTCACATTGAAAAATGTTGGCATACATACATTTAATCCACTTATTAAAACTTGATCATCGTCATTCGCTGAGGCAGAAATTCTAATTCCTAAATATAATGACGGTAGGAGTTAATTATGTTTGCGGGTATTAACACACTCTTTTTACAAACATATCATATGCCTGATGTTTCGATCAGTTTGCACTGGCCATGGTCACATACGTTAATTCCCGTCAATGTAAATTAAAAAAAGTTAAGTGACGGTAAGATGTCAGTATGTTTATGAAAACCTGATTTACCTTAATTAAATAAAGACTAGTTCTGTAAAATGATATACATTATTTTAAGACGCGTACACTACACGTGTTAAACTTGTTCTACAGTCAGCCTCAAAATAAGTATGCGTAAACAAAGTTCCATATCATTAGCTTGTATAACCGTGTACATCATTTTGATAAAATATTGTAAACAATGATAGTGACGGAATACAGTCTTCAAAATAATTTGTTATTGTTTAATAACAATATAAAGAAGTGCGATAAATTGTGTAAGCGGATTTATCAGCAATAATCAGTAAAATGAGATGACGCATAGAGCGGTTTTATAAATAAATACTAGCAGTTTAATATTTAATAATAAATACTGTCTAGATTTGTTTCGCACACCAAGCTTTTCCGACCTTACCCTCCAAGTGACCGCGAAACTGGACTTGGCTTGATAATATCTATGTCAAAGGACTACGATGCTAGCTGTGATTTCATTTCATTTCGTATCTTCGTGAACTTAAATTGGATTAGATTATATTGGAATTGATACCGGATAACCAAATTCTTAAATATTATGAATTATTCCTTTTAAAAATGTAATTACCATTTTTCGTTTTCTTTTTTCAGAAAAACCACAAATTGATAAACCAGATGAGAAAATAAACGTCGTAAAAGGAGCTGATGTTCAGCTTACATGTCGGTAAGTGGACGAAACAATTCGTGCTCCAGATCTATTAAGTATTATGATGTTTTCAATAAATTCAAATACGTCATAATTTCCGTGTGACCCACAAAGTCTAAACTTCTAGAATTATAAAATTCTTATTATTTTTATCCTTTGAACCTCTGTCTTCATCATCGTCATCAACAGCCTTTACTAGTCCACTGTTGGACATTGGCCTCTCCTTAGAAAGGAGGTTTTGGCCTACTATACCACGCTGGTATAGGGTTTGTGTCAAGTTTTCCTTCTTTTTGCAGTGCTGGTGTCCTGCGTTGTTTTTCGCCCTTAGTCGGCTATTACGACACCCACGGGATGAATTGGGGTTTACACGGACAAATATAATACTGATACTAATAGTAACACCTGCCGTTTGACCGTCAACTGATGTAGTTTCAGCTTCATTGCGAAGTTCTAATAATACTAAGGTGGACTCCTTTTACAGTAACACAGTAGTCTGACAGGAATAGTCTGTCAAAAAAAAAAAAAACTGGTCAATAGGCCAGGTGCGCCAATTGCATATTTATTGCAACACTAAGTAAATACATGAATCATCTTCTACGTAGCACCAATTGCTGGATTCCAAAAATATAAAACTCATTATCCCTTTTGATCAATCACAATATTTTTCACGATTTTTGTTTTAACCTCAGGCCTAAATATGTTTTTATTTCTTCATCGAAAACCATAAAACTATCATAAATCATAATTTTATTTTTAGTATTCTTCGTGGAACGCCAAAGCCAACCATGCAGTGGAATTACCAGAACAAGGCGAAAAATTTAAAAGAACTTGAGGAGATTAACGAAGCTCTACTGTTGAAGAATGTAACCGTCGACGACGAAGGCAAATACACGTGTAACGCCAGCAATATAGTGGGATCACAAAGTTACACAATAGATGTGATCGTAGAATGTTAGTAGTACACCTGTTTTGAAAATGTTAAAAAACACACATATTGGTTGTCACTCAACGTGTTAAACAAATTTATGTTGCGACCTTTAGTGTAATTGTTTGAGCGTTCACTTCCATGAAACTGAAAAAAAGACATTATCATGACACACCACAAAAAAAGTAAAAGTTTATATTTCTACTTTATCTAGTAAACAAAACGTTATTTTTGAATTTTCATAACTTTCATATAAGATAGGTCGCTATGGGATGACGCTAAACGTACTAAAATCATGATTATTTACTTTGGTAAAAATATTCTGAATGCCACAGATCTACCGACAATCAAAGAAGATGGAATCAAAATGATTGAAACTAAAGACAGCGTTGAAGTAACTTTACCTTGCAACGTTGATGGTTTACCCACTCCTACAGTGAGGTGGCTAAGAAATGGTACAATACTGCACAGCTCGAAGAATATTTTAACAACCTCCGATTTCAGTCTCAAGTAAGTAAAGGTCATTGTGGTGATTCCATGAATAGTTGATTAGTGAAACGGTATGTATACAAGAATATTTAATCCAAAGGTTATCGTTGTAGTATTTATACCGATGTCTTGTGTATATTTCTATAACCTAGTTCTGCGTTAATAGAACATATAAACATTACTCATAGTCTCATCTATCGAACAACTGCCGATCACAGTCTCAAGTAAATACAATTGTTCGTTCATATTCCGAATCAGTGAGACGTACATCACTACTACCCCATGTTCAATATGGTAAATTCATTGATAGACGACTTGTCAAATGTTATCATTGCCTATTAATACCTACATTTCATGTAACTTTACATAGTATAAAACAAAGTCACTGTCCATTCCTGTACGTTTAGATGTTTCAAAATACGTAACGGATTTTAAAGTGGTTTTTATTAATAGAGAGAGTGATCAAGGGGTATGTGTTCTTTGTGTCCGTTTATGTATATCTATAAAGTCCCCCGCGACAAAGATGTTTGTAAAAAAGTTGAAGGTAGGAATAATATATTTCAAAGACTTGTAACGAGATGTCGTAAAAAACATGACGCTGAACGGTACGGCTGACTCACAGTAACCATTTTTATCTTTTACATATTACAAAAAGTAATGGGTTATTTACTAAGCTATTTTAAATAAAATCATATTATTCCTTATCCATATAAATAGGTTCGATATGTCGTGCATTTACTGTAGATCAAAATAGCTTTATACAATATATCATTAAATAGACATTTAAAAAAATATCAGAGATATAAAATGCGGGGGCATAGCGGCGGTTAGGTTATACGTCGTGATTAACTACTCCACACTGACACATTTGGATTTACATTTTACCCGTGCGAAGTCGGGGCGGGTCGCTGGTTTTCTTATAATCTAGTTCTATTAGGAGAACATCTTTATGTTAATAGATGAATATATGACAACATTTTCATAAGCTTGTCTGTGGTAACTTAATTACAGTAAAAAAAACAACTTTTTCTTTTGGTGATTTTAGAATTAGAAGAATAGACGTGTCAGATACTGGATCCTATACTTGTGAAGCTGAAAACCATCTTGGTTCTACTAACAAATCCATTGATGTTTTAGTATTTGGTAAGTAAATGATTATGCTTCTAATGTAAAAAAAATTCAAAGCTTTCCTATTAATTCACTTTTACCGGATTTAACAATTAATCACCAAAGTATTACTATTCCCCCATCTTAAACAGATGTTTAGTTGCAACTTTCATTTATATTTAGAACAAATAGTGTATTGATAACGTCAACACCACTTCATCAACCAAATTAATAATTTCACATCTATACTAATATTATAAAGGGGTAAAGCTGTTGAGTTTGTATGTTCAGGGTAATCTCCGGTACTAAAAACTACTAAAATTCTTTCTCTGTTAGACAGGTATATTATCCCTGAGTGCTATAGACCATTTTTTGATAAATATATATTTTCAATAATTAATCACAATAAATGTAATTGAAGTCCGCAAAAATGCTATAATATAGCGTGCGCTGCCTGAACGGTTTGAAATAAAGGAATGAAATGTATGGCAAAAAATTCATTTCTTCTAGCTTTACAGGAAAATTAGCGACAAAATTTATTTAACTTTACTATCTCAGCTAAAAGGAGGTTTTCGTATTAACAGAAAACTAAAAATTCTAAAGAAATGTTAAGGTGAATTTACATACATGTACAGTATGCATAGGTGAGTTTCATCACCACGAAAATCGTGTGAAGATAAAATTTGGCCTTTACTGCATTTAATTTGGCCAGATAGTTGAGAAGGTAACTTGAGATACCTAAAAACGCAAGACATAGACTTTTGTAAACATTTAGTTGCAATATACATTTTATAATATTGTTTGTGTATGTACATACATACCCTAGAGACACGTTCATTCAGTTAAAAGTGTGTATAAAGATAACGTATCGTTTAGACCGGTAGTCTAATCATAACAACAATATAGTAGTTAATTACCGCACACTGAAACCACATTAGCACACCCGTGCGAAGCCGGCGCGGGTCGCTAGTTGAAATATATATATATATATATATGGTATTCGGCTTATAGCATAACAGCTAATAAAACAACAAAGAATTATCGACAAGTAGACAAATAGTCATAGGTGTAAATATAAGACGGCCTTACAGTATAAAGTGCCAAATTATTACTTTCAGACAAACCGGTAATCGAGAAACCAGTCGAGAAAATACGTGCCGTAAAGGGAACTGACGTTCAGCTTACATGTCGGTGAGTGGCCGCCAATGTATTATTTTGTCCAGAATGCACTATAACACCACTAAGAGTACTTAGGATATATATTAAATAGCACAACATTGGGGATTGGACAAATCACATTAATATAGTTTCCCTAAAAAATTAAGCATGGATTCTCAAAATCAATCTTCTTCTTTTAAACATTCGTGCCTCTTAATTTAATTAAACCTCGTGCGATTAGAACGCGTTCTCAGTGGTTAACAAATATAGTAAACAACTAACCGGTTTCTTATCGCTCGGCGCAGCGCGATCGGCCCCCGGACGTCTGTTGTGTGAAGTTAATATGAACCATATTCTGAATGGCTAGCGGACGTGTTTACAATGACTGCGATGAAAATTCCATAGTTGACCAGCGTGGTGAGACTGACCATACATATTGTTTAGAGGAGAACATGGAGACAAATGAAGAACTAACAAATAAGCGGTTAAGAATCGAGAATAGTGAAAAAGGTTGGCAGACGGTTGCGAAGAAAAGAAAATCTATAGATCTTTCCAGCACGCAATCGGTAGAAAATATGTGGCAGATATGCGTATATTCTAAAGAAAAACTACCTAAGCAATTCGCTATGGCAAAGTTACTAAACGAAAATAAAATAACTGGAGTCACAAGAGTTAAATATGTTAACCCTTATAAGGTATCATTCACTTTTGATAAGGAAATTAACGCCGAGAAGGTTTTATCTTGTACCGCTTTAAGTGAACTTGGTTGGCGCCTACAAAAAACTTGGGAAATTGACTTATGCTATGGAATCCTCAAAGATATAGATGTGGAACTATCAGAGGCGGAGCTCATAAAATGTATTCGGGCTGATAAAGACCTTGTGACCGCTAAGCGGATGAATAGGAGAACGGAGGAAGGATGGACTCCGAGTGAAACCGTGAGAATTGGTTTTAAGGATAATTCTTTACCAAGACATATTTATTTAATGGACCTACGAATTACTGTCTCTCCGTTTGTGTTCCCGGTGACACAATGCTCACGATGCTGGAGGTTCGGTCATGTCTGGGTAAGGAACGGTAGAATCTTTATGAGAAAATCCGATGAGACAGAATACATAATTGTTAAAAACATAGCTGTGTTGGATAGTTTATCTTAGAAACCTGTGGGTTACTTTATGTACTTAAAAGCATTGTAATGGTTATGACCTTCGGTAAATTCGATCAATTCAAGATATATTACCAAAATACCCGTGGTTTGCGAACAAAAACTCACGGGTTTTATAACGAAATATGTGGTGTGGACTATGATATTGTTGTGCTAACGGAGTCATGGTTAAATAGTGATATACTGAGCAGCGAGCTATTTGACAACAGATACATGGTTTATAGAAGGGATAGGGTAGATTCAGGCTTTCATAGTCTAAAAGAGGGCGGGGGAGTTTTAATAGCGATTAAAAAAATAATTAAATCGGAACGCAAATGTACCTGGGAAAGCAAATGTGAGGATCTATGGGTTACTATAGAAATCCCTACTACTCAAAAAACATGTCGTGTGGCTCTCTGCGCTGTATACTTACCTTCTCCTTTAAAACGCACAATGCTAGAACATTTTATAGATAATTGTAATTTAATCTGTGAAAAAGCTGATTTTAATATGTGTATAGTTGGCGATTTTAATTTACGCGAATTGAATTGGAACTTGTTAGACGATCCGACTAATGCTTATTCAGTATCCGGTAAAGGTCAACTCCTAATGGATTTCATAAACTTGAATAGATTCAGTCAAAGCAGTCGTGTACTCAACTCCCAGAACTGCACTCTTGATCTAGTACTAACTAATATTTATTCTAGTAGTGTAAAAGAGTCTCATACAGCCTTAAGTGCTATTGATAGGTACCACCCCCCTTGGAAATTTGTATTCCATTATATGACGAAGTTAAACTGAGCTATAATACAAACACAAAAAAATACAATTTTCCCAAAGCAGACTACGATAGGATCCGTACATATTTATCAACGATTAACTGGATAGCAACATTCGATCCCATGAATAACGTAAATGATATGGTAAAAGTATTTTATGACATTGTTTGGACTGCGATAGAAAATTATGTCCCAAAATATATCAAAAAACACAATAATTATCCTCCATGGTTTTCCCGCCCTCTGATAAAGTCTTTAAAGGAGAAGTACAAACTGAGATGTCGCTTAAAAAAATACAAGAACCCTTTAGATGAGCTTGAGCTAAGAATAGTAAGCAAGCGATGCTCTTCTATGATCATCTCTTGCTATAATCAGTATGTCGCGAGATTAGAGGAAAACATTGTAAAGGATGTAAAACATTTTTGGTCTTATGTAAAAGCTAAACGCGGGGGCTCCAGTTCCTATCCAGTCTCTATGTCGGATGGTAATGTAAGTACTTCGGATGGGCCGAGTATATGTGAAATGTTTGCGACGCATTTTTCGTCTGTGTATAGTAACAAAAAAGAAACAGCTACAACGAGGGCTTCAGAGTCAGACTATTTGACCAATATGGCCAACTTAAGTTTGAACTTATTGCTCCCGGTCATACAGTACGATAGTTTGTTGGCAAAACTAAAGAGTCTGGACTGTACCAAGGGAGCTGGCCCAGATGGTGTGCCGCCCTTATTCGTTGTGACCTGTGCTGAATATCTTGCTAAGCCTCTGCTTCTAATTTTCAACAAATCTCTATCTACTGGAACCTTTCCAGGACAGTGGAAGACTGCTAAGATAGTCCCCATCCATAAATCAGGAAATGATACTTTTGTCGCTAACTACCGCCCCATTTCGATACTATCAACATTCGCTAAAGTTTTCAAATCTCAAGTTTGTCCACTCATACAAAAACATTTTAAGCTATATATCACTGATAGTCAACATGGGTTTGTGACTGCTAGATCTACCACCACAAATTTAGTGGCGTTTTCAGAGACCCTAGCTGAAACGATGGATTCCGGCAAGCAGTTCCATGTGATATACACCGACTTTAGTAAGGCATTCGACAGAGTCCAACATAAAATTCTCCTTCGGAAGCTGTCAGTATATGGTATTACCGGAACCATGCTAAAGTGGTTGGATTCATATCTGGATGATCGTACTTTCTTTGTTGTCGTCAACGGCTTTAAATCTGGGGTCCGAGCCATCACATCTGGTGTTCCACAAGGTTCTCATATCGGTCCGGTGTTGTTTAACATTCTTGTTAATGACCTGCCTACATGTTTCAATTTCTCAAAAACTTTCATGTTTGCGGATGATTTGAAGTTTGGAAGAGAAGTAGAATCCTTAGACGATGCCCTTTTGCTACAAAACGATATACATCGCTTAACAACATGGTGTTAGCAAAATGAGATGCAACTTAACACTCAGAAGTGCTTTCACATCAAGTTCTCTCGGAAAGCCAACATAACAGAAAACAACTACTACATAGGTAATGAGCGAATTCAGGAGGTAGATCAAATAAAAGACTTGGGAGTAATCATGGATAAGAAGTTTACATTCCTTCCTCACATGGAAAACGTCATTAAACGGGCGTCTCAAATGCTTGGATTTGTAATACGCAATGGAATTTTTTTCCGTAGCAGCAAGCCTAAAATCCTATTATACTGTAGCCTGGTGCGTAGCATCCTTGAATACTGTAGTGTTGTCTGGAGGCCACATTTTGCAGTCCACTCAATGCGTATGGAGCGTATTAAAAAAAGGTTTATGTGGCATTTGTCATATAATCGTCAGCATATCAAAAGAGACACTCCCTACAAAAAAAAAAGCTTAAGATATTCGGTATGAACGCTTTATCGGATCGTTGGGATGTTAACGATAATATCTTTCTGTATAAAATTCTGCATGGAATTGTCAGTTGCCCGCAGCTACTGGAAAAAATTAATTTGCGTGTTCCAGCTAAATACCCTCGGTACCGAATCACACCCTTCTACCCTCCACTACGTAGGACAGTTTATGGAGCCAATTCACCGATTCCCAGGCTCTCAAAGTTGGCAAATCAAATCTAGTGCTTTTGTCGATATCAATGCAGTCTCGCTTAATAAGTTCCGATTCACACTTTTGAAATATTAACGAGATAAATAAACGTGCAACCTATCCATGTTCAGTATTTTGTTAGTTTTAATTTTCTTCTTTTGTTTGTATAAAGTGTCAAAACAGTGCAAGTTGTATTTGCCTATAAGTATTTGTTACACCTTACTTAATATTATTTCTTTCTAAAACTCTGTAGCATGTAAGCGTGCAAACAAATGTTGGCAACTCATAAATAAATAATTAAATGTGCGCCTCTAACAAGCTTCTCTGCCCGAAATGTGGCAAAAATGATCACGCAAACTGTGATATACCTATTTATAAGTGTGTCAACTGCTCTGCTAATCATATTTCACTATCAAGGGATTGTCCAGTTTACGCAAGGGAAAGACGGATTCGTGAGATTATGTCACAGCTGAAGTGTACTTATCAAAAAGCCGTGACTTTTATTCCGCCTTCTCCGCGTCGTACAGCCGAAGCAAACAAGTTTTTAATTAATAGCAACAATGGCCTTGCCTCTCAAGGATCATCTAACGCCAGTGCACTGAGTATTGACACCGAACAATTCGAATTAGCTGAGATCAACGGACGACCAAAGACAACTATCACAAAAAAGACTCACAAAAAAAAGAAAACAAAAGTTCCGGTCCACCTGTCCGATAATGTTATAGTGGATATGTTTGTCACTGACTCTAACCCCGAAGATTCAGCTGACCCTCAAGATTCTCAAACTACACAACCTCATACAAGGAAAAAATCTCGCGAAATATCGCCACTTCGGCGTGTGTGGGAAAACATCAAAGAGATGATACATAACATAAAAAATCTGATTCAAACACAATTTAAGGATGGGTTAAAAGTGGTTGTAGATTGGCTTAACATATTCCTAAGTAATTTAATACCCGATATGTCTGTTTTAAAAAATATATTTACGTCAGTTAATGGATAACGCTTCCAATACATTAATTAGATTGAACATAATACAA